TTTGGAGAGTCCATAACAATTCGTGGGTATGGTTTTATTGCAGACAAGGCATACAATCTTCGATTAGAACAGGGCTCGACGAGAGTTTTGGTCAATAGCTCGAGAGCTTCATTTGAAAATGCCAGTCAGCTTGTATTCAACGTGTCAGGTTCACTGCAATCTTTCCATGCAGGAGAGGTGCAAGTTTTTTTGATGTCAAATAATGATAATATCTTTTTTTATTCTGAGACAAGTGTTTCATTTATCACCATCCAAGAAGTCTTGCATGATGCTATTTCTGATGTTCTTGCCACCGGTGATACGATCGAGCTGGAAGGATTTGGATTTTTGCTGGGTGCTAGCTACACTTGTAAGTTCTTGGTTTCGGAAGACTTTGGTCATTGCACGATCCTTGGCATTGATAAAATCCGTTGCAAAATCCCCCCCTTTCCCCCGACAGACAACATTATTACAAGTTTGCAAATCTTCCGCAACTCTACCTTGGTCCCCGGTCTTGTGGCTAAATTGAAACCTCTTGCCGGTCTTAGCGACATCTTTCCTCAATCTGGCAGCTCCCTTTTACCGCAATATGTGACAGTGACAGGAGGAGGTTTCACTTCCCTTGCATCGTTTACATGCAGTTGGGAGTGCTTTGGTCATGAGCTGAAAACGAACGCAGACGTTCTAAATTGGTCATATGTCCGTTGTAGCGAAGCTCGATGGAATCACAGCGCCTGCAAGGGTAATTTCAGCCTCTGGAGGAATGATGTAAGAATGAACCCTCTGTTTCCATTTGAGTTTTTCAGTGCCATTTCCTCAATAGAACCAGCAAAATATTTGTCAGGAGTTAGAGGTGATTACATCGTATATGGGGCTGGATTTGATGTCAGCAGACAGAACGCGTCATACCTTTGCGTCCGTGGAAATGAAACTTCGGAAGCTGTTGCTGCGGCGAGCACTTTCCTGTTGTATTGCTCGTTACCCCCATGGAATGAGACCGCAGGCGACGCTGAGATCAGAGTGAAGGATGTGTCTCAAGGCCTCTTTCTAGCAGGCTCCGTGAAAGTGACCTACACGATGACCATCCAGAGCATTGAGCCATCTGCCGGGTTTTCTTCTTTGAGTCATCTCGTCACTGTTCGTGGAGGTGGTTTCTCGCTGGAAAATACTTACTCTTTATTGATCAGAAGAAGGTCTGATGTGGAATATGCCGTGACCATACATGTAATACCTTCTCATTCTCAACTAGTTTTCAATGTGCCCGTATGGAAATACAGCGGCGGCAAGGCGAATGTTTCTTTGATCGAAAACGGAACGCTCAAAGAAGATGCCGGGCAACTCTTTTTTATCTTTCGAGCAGTCTTTACGGCAATTAGATCTTTTTCTGGAACGGTTTTTGGTGGAATTCTCATTCTCAGTGGAATAGGATGGAGTGATGATGCACGCTATATTTGCAGTATCACTGCTTCTGACGACAGGTCTATGATGTTGAACAGCTCGGACTATTTTTACTCGTCCCCAACAATAATCGAGTTTCGCATAGGTCGATGGCAATATCTTGCCACAAAAGTAAATGTGAGTCTGATTGAAAACTTAGAAGATATACCAGGTTTAGATTCTTTTTATCTTGACATGGCATGGCTAGATTTGAACATTTCTGGTACAGCAAGAAACAATGCAGATGATGTGCTTTATCCCTCATTCAGTGGTGGCGAACTGATCGAGGTGATTGGCGGCGGTTTTCCAGCCAATTCTTCAGTGCAATTTGAGTGTCGATTCACAACCTCAGAGTCCTCGCCGTCCTCTTTCTTTACTGCCAACCCGTATCTGGCTACAATCGGTCATGCTGACTCCTGGAATACTGTTACATGTTATACTCCCATTTGGATTTTCCAGAACCCTGAGGCTTTTTTCTCGCTCTGGTTGATTGGGAATCCTCCCCAAAGAATAAGTCAGATTTATGTGTCAGATGGAAGTACAAAGGTCATGTTTCAAGGCAAACCGCTGTTGGAGAATGGAAATCTAAATGGGCCCATTCAAGGATCGAACACTTTGACGCTTTTTGGACAGAACTTTGGATTTCAAGATGTTACACCAAAAGTAAGGATTGGGGACACAGGTTGCGAATTTACAAGATGGATTTCTTCAAGAGAGATTTTATGCAAGCAACCATCAAAAGCGGCGGATTTCGTGAGTGTTGATGTGGTTGTATCTGTCGTCCCATTCCGTGCTGGGTCACAAAGCTTTGCATTCACTTTTGATGGCCCATACACTTCTAGTACAAGCGTGGGCAATGCACCTGCCCTCGCTGTTGTAAGGATTGTTGGATCACAATTTTCTTACTTTGATAGCACGCATGCAGCCAGAGTACAGGGAACAGCAGCAGAGGTGACCAAGTGGCTGTCAGTAACAACAGTACAGGTCAAGGTCCCTTCCGGTCCATGCTGTTCTTGTACGGTTGCTCTCACGGTTGTTCCTACATCCGTGACTTCTACTTTGTCTAGTGCACTGTCATATGATCAAGGCGTCTTGCGCAGTTGCGATCTCGCCATGCTAAATCATTCCAAGGAGAATATCTCTTGGTCATATCCTGCATATTGTCTTGGAAAAGCAGGCTTGATGAACAGAGATAATCCATCCAACTCTCAATCACGTCGTGATGTGCGATATTTGATCGCTTCAGATTTAAGTTCAACTCGATGGACCGTGCAAGTACGATTTGGTTCAACATCTGCTGAAAGGACATTTTGGAAATCCGATACATCTCTGAACTTATACCTTCCCTCTGGCTACTTGCAGACCATCGGTGTCGTGATGACATTGTCAGATAAAGCGATCTCTTCGGCCACACAGCTCGTCTCGTATAATGAACCTTCGTTATCTCTCCTGAGTGTGAGGAATCGTGCTTCCATGCTGTTTGCTGGAACATACATTCAATCTGCAAGATCTTGGGTTTCTCATACGGCAGGTTCACGGATGGGAGGAACAGGAGCGGAATCAACAGAGTGGGTATCGTACACTTCAGTCCAAGCACACTCAAGCAGAATGTTAGGATTCAGCAAACGGATGAGCATGACGATGGGTAGTCAGGATGCTACTTTATCGTCCGCTTTTTCTATCGACCTCCCGTCTCTGATCAGCAGTTCTTTCAAAATTGACACAGGTATAAAGACAGATACGAATACACCTTCGAAAGATTACGAAGTTTACACCAAAATTTCAGAGCAATGCTCTGAATTTTTGCCAAATGGTGAGTAGAAACTTTTTTACCCAACATTTCTCACTGAGTATTCTGCAGGTGGATGCAAGTATTTCAAGAATTGGGAGATAAGAGATCATCCCAAAGCGATTAATGATGGGCCTTCTTCATGGCAGTACCTCAATTCTATCCAAAGTTGCTTTGGCTGTGTCAAGTTGAAGCAAGCTGTTCCAATTGAATTGCAGCCATACTCTGCTTATCAGCAATCGAGCAAGATATACGGAAAATACAGCAAAGAAGATGTAGAAGGAACCACGCTCGTGTACACTTCGATGCAGTCTTATTCTTCTGGTTTTAGCGTTTGGAACCAGTACATCTTGAACGTTTTGCTAATCAATTTTAATGATGACTGGATTGGGGTCAGCTTTTTGTACCAAGATGACAACAATTATTTCCGATTTGAAATGAATTCTCAAGAAAAGTAAGAAGATTGAAGCGCTTGTCTGGTGGAAATGTAACAATCTTGTGGGATGAACAGAATTCGATTGGATACAATGTTGCAGTTCTGTATCTGATTCAAATCCAATATTTGGACGGTTTGATCCGAGTCTTCATGGATCCTTATTCGACGGTCAATGATGGAATTCCAACGAGTGAGCTTTGCAGTCACTTTTATCAGACAAGGTTGGAAAATTCTACATTCGGATTATGGACAGCTGCTAGTCAAGAAGCCTACTTTCTTGGAGTTAACATTTTTCGACCATTTGACATTGCAAAACATAGCAATCAATGGGCTGTCGGTGGAATTCAGATGACTGTACGTGGGCAAAATCTGATGAATTACGATTTTACTCCCATGTCTAGGTCGCACTCGACAAGTTGCGCTTTTACAGTCTGGAGCTCCGATTCTTCACTTGTATGTCGTGCAACAAGTGCTATTCGAGCGTCTAAAAAGAACATAGTTTCGGTCGGAATTGTCGTTGGAACGATATCATTTGCTTTCTCTTTGGATCTCCCCTCTATTTCCATGGTGCTTCAAGCTAATAGAGCGAGCTCAGGGTCTATTTCTTTGACGATCCATGGCATAAATATTGGGAAGTATCAGAGTAGTTCTCAATTTCGAATTCATGGTTCTGCAGCCGAGGCAACGGAGTGGCAAAGTATGGATAGTCTTTTATGCTTACATTGCAATCTTCAAGTATGGGGATCAGACACACAAATAAGGAGTTTGACACCTGCATCCACTTCAGCATCATCAAAGTTACAATTGACAGTTGGTTCATTATCTGGAAGCTTAACCCAAGGATGGTCTTTTGATACTTTGGGTATCAGTGAAACTCTTAGTTCAGGGAATGTTGCAGGTACTGGTTCTGTCAGTGTCACCGTTTTTGGAGGTAGTTTTGGTCACATGCAAAAAAGTATTGCTAAGTCAATAGGTTTGACGGACTGTGAGTCAACTCACTGGGAATCGGATACTGCTGTTCGGTCCAGAACAGCCCATCTGCTTCTAAAAAGCGGACGAGTCTCCCTTACATGCGTCAACTCAGTTTCCACTAACACAGAGGCTTTCACTTCGGATCTCATTGCTCGTCTTGACTTGAACCGTTCACTTCCGTGCAATAGCGCATCGACCGGATCACTCAGCTTGACTGTCGTGGGTTCAAATATTGGACAGTCTGCTTTTACAAGCATGCTAAGGACCCACAATACTATTTGCGAAAATACCTTGTGGATTTCTGAAACCTCAATTCAAGCAAATACTGCGATGGGCAAAGGCTTAACTGACAAAATTATCATCACAACAACGAGAATAGAAGGGACGATGTCCGAAATATTTTCTTTCAACAATGTGATGGTAAGCAATGCCGATCGAGTAAAAAATGGGCCAGTCACAGGATCACGGAGCATCACTATCATTGCAAGCAATATGGGTTCAGTCACATATACGGGGGCAGGGCGGGGAGGGCACACGGGGTGCGAGGCGACGGAGTGGGAGTCGGAGACGTCGGTGCGGTGTCAGGCAGGGCTAGGGGCGCGGGGGAGCGGGCAGGTGTCGCTGACGGCAGGGGGGCAGGGAGGGGCCGGGAGCAGGAGCGAGGCGGTGTCGTGGGACGGGCCGGGGGTGTACACGCTGAGTCTTGGGGAGGATCGGAGGGCGAGGTTCGATCGATGTAACGAGACGGGGGCGGACTCCTCGTGCTTTCTTATGGACAGATTTGCTTTCGTTTTCCGGACTGTCATATCTTGAAGCAAATCTTTCTTCATTGGACACCGTGCTGTTTACCTTGACTCTTCCATCGAGCAATGATTACGTGGCTTTGATTGGGGGTCAAGAGTACGTAGCGTTCACGTGCGTCAACTCGAGCTATGGCCTGTACCTGCTACGGTTGACGGCGCGGGGGCTTTTCGGGACGAGCGTGGGCGATCACGAGGCCGGGGCGGAGGTCATCTACTACGCCTGGAAGACGGTGGGCCAAGGGAACCGGGCAGGGACGGGGTCGACGAGCATGACGGTGTACGGGGGGGCGATGGGCGTCGGCGTACACGGGGGCAGGGCGGGGAGGGCACACGGGGTGCGAGGCGACGGAGT